TTATAAATATATTGTATTGCATCACTAACAATTATAATGGTACGTCTACAAATCGGTAAGTGTCGAGGTAGTCTAAAAACAGGGATTTATTGGTTGATAATGTATACTTTTAATTATCCAACGATTGAAATGATCAGAATTAAAAGAATTACACTAATGATCGTCTGTCAATTTTGTTCACCTGTAAAATTGCATAAAAATCTATAATCTAAATAAAAATTTGAATATTGAAAATGACCATAGCGTTTAAGAGATTTGTTACAAACTAGTGATGATGTTGGTATATTTTATACTTCATTTTATAGTCAGTTTGATTTTTGCTTCAATTGTTTTATATAATTGTATCATTGATAATATATAAAACATTTATGGCGGACTGCGTCTTGCATAAACGTTCAGTAAAGATCTAATGAACATAATTTTAGTCGTTTTGATTGGTTCATTAAACCATTAAAATGATTAACTTTTTATGCAGCTTGGCATCCTACTTTTAAAATTTAAATTATATAAATAATAGCTCTATAATTGACAGTTCCTTTTTCATACACAGGGTGTTCCAGCATGAAAAGTAAGTAATAGGTGATTTGACATCTGGGAGACCCCAAAAAAGCCCCCCGTTTTCATTTTTTCGATAAGTCAAAAATTGAAGGTTTCGACAGTTAAGTAATAAAAAAATGATTTTTAAAAAAAAAAATATTCCCTGTTGTTCAGTGCAAAAAGTGCTTCACTATACAAGTGAGTACTTGGTAAATCTATTGCTATTAACTGGCCTCACTTACTTGATCGTACAAAACAGTTTGATGGAAAAATACATTTTAATTCATTGTACTAAGTATATTATTAAATAATATTTTATTGTGTATGAGCAAAAGAAAGTTATACACCATAATATGAGAAAAAGTATGAAACAAAATTCCTATTGTAAAAATATTTTATCCAAAATTTCTTAAATAATCGTCATTATTCTTTTATAGTTGAAAAAATCACTAAAATAACAATTATTGTAATTCAATGTTATCCCGATACATAAAATACCTTTTTGAATAATTGTTCTATGTAAAATGTTATTAAAAAAATTATGTCAAGTCGACTAACATTTTTTGACGATTTGCACAAATGTGTTTATAATTTCGACATATTTTTAAAATGCATATTTTAATACATTTCGTAATGAATCATAACGGTGGCGCGGTCTAGTGGTGATGTTAGTCCACAGGGACGAATTTTGTATTTTATATTGTGTAGTGCAGAAAGTATCTTAATCAACTCGCTACACTCATATGTACTAAGCTAGGCATATATTTTAAATATTAATACACGAATGTGTATTACATTCTTTTATCTATTCTTTTTTTTTATAACTTTTAAATAGCGATAAATATTAATCGACGCCACCGTGATACATAAAAAGGGGTATTAATCATCGCTCTAATATCAAAGTAATCAATGTTTTAGTTAAAACAAACGTATAAGTTATAAAGTTGTAATCGAAAATTATATAGAATTATTAAAACTATTATTGTTTTTATTTTAAATCATGTACATTAACAAGTGAAAGAATAAACAACAACTGTTTATTTATATATTATTCTCATATTATAGTGTACAATTTTCTTCAGCTCATACTCGTAAACACAATAAAATTATTTTTAATAATATAACTAATACAATGGATTAAAATTTATTTTCCCATCAAACTGCTTTGCACTATCAAGTACGTGAGGCCAGTTAATAGCAATACATTAGCCAATTACTCACTATGTATAGAGAAGTACTTTATCTATGGGGTAGTGTTTTTTTTATCTAGGTATACTTGATATTTTTTATAGGCAAATAAAAAAGGGAGAAAAATGAATCTTTACGGATGAATAACTTGTATTATGCTTGGTGACTATAATATAATAATACTATATTATAATAAAGTGCGCATATGCAATAACCTAGTATATTTAAGCCATGGTCCTATTTAGCTAAAATCTGGATTTGATACGATATAAAAATATGGACTGATATATTGTTGGCACAAAAAAAACAACACATAGTTGTGTCAAAAATTCACAAAAAAAACTTCAAGTACTGTACAAAATAAATCAAGATCACAAAGATTTAATTCAAATATATAATATTTGTTTATGCTCAATAGTGAGAAGAGTTTTTGTAGAAAGAAGTTTTTCTAGATTAACTCTGGTAAAATAAAAAATACACTACTAGTGTTGTCTAGCTCAACTATTAATATTGCTTGTACATTTTACATTTTAATGTCAAAAGCAAATTAAGAATCACTATAACGCAACAAAGGCACGAGTCTTTGATTTCGGTATAGGTTAAAAAATTAATTCTTGAAAAAATCACTATCTAGCATTATGTTGATAAGTTTGTAGAAAAAAATAGACGTGTGAACTTGTAAATATAAAACTAAAGCCACTGTATTAAAGCTAGTACAGTGGGGTTGGGGCATAGTGGTGATGGATAGGTCACACATCTACACGAAATATTAAAACTGAAAGTCATAAAAGCACTTTAAAATAAACGCTTCGTTCATATCTGTGGGTAGTGTGTATATACCACACATAGCAATCTAAAAACTGACTACGGTCAAAGTGTAATTTTCCCCTATTTTTTGGTTTTTCCTTAATAATAAAAATGTTTGACTACAGATTTTTGAGGAAATTGTATAATATTTTATAGCCATTGGTCTAATTTTCATAAGCCCCCAAAACTTTGCATGAAAACCCGAAAGAAAAAAAAAATGCCACCCTTGGTAAGTGTCTTTATGATGAAAATACTTTGGAGCTTAATACATTTAAAATATAAGAAACATTCTAATGTATAACTATTCAAAAGGACATTTAAATTCATTTTTAAAGGATAAAGTACCAAGTATACATTGTAAATTATAAGTACAAAACTTTATTAATATTATGCTTCCTACTTAAACTTTAATAACATTTTAAATTTTGTAATATAAAAACATAACATTTTTAATTTTATTAGCTGTTATTACCTAATTATATTTTGATTGTTGATTGATGCAACAATTATATTATACTTAATCGTGGTTGAAATTAAAATGGCAAAATATTTTACATTATTTGTATTGTAATAACATGCATTAGGTCGAATCATAAAATATAAATGAGTAATCGAATTATAACTATGTATTAGCCCGTAATATTAAAAAAAAAAAAAAAAAAGAGTACAATTTCATGTACTTAACAGTTAACACTATTGTTAAGGACACTAGGCATAGGCGTATTTGGGTGGGGGGGGGGCTAATAGAATAGTTGTACACAATAATATGAGCAAAAGTATGAAACAAAATTCCTATTGTAAAAATATTTTATCCAAAATTTCTTAAATAATCGTCATTATTCTTTTATAGTTGAATAAATCACCATAATAACAATTGTTGTAACTCAATGTTATCCCGATACATAAAATCCTTTTTTAAATAATTGTCCTATGTAAAATGTTATTTAAAAAATTACGTCAAGTCGGCTAACATTTTTCGACGATTTCAATAAATGTGTTTATAATTTCGACATATTTTTAAAATGCATATTTTAATACATCTACGTAATGAATCATAACGGTGGCGCGGTCTAGTGGTGATGTTAGTTCACAGGGACGAATTTTGTATTTATTTATATTGTGTAGTGCAGAAAGTATCTTAATCGACTCACTACACTCATGCGGTACGCCAAATAATAAGATAATAGAGTAATGAGATAGAAAAAAAAAACAATTTATAAATTTTAACACAGACGGAGATGACCTATGGGATATACGCAGGGGTTAAAGTGGGGGGGGTGCAGGGGGACTCAGTCCCTCTCCCTCTAATGGTGGTTAAAAAGCGTCCCCTTTAACAAATTATTCGTAAGGTACAATTATAACCAAACATTGGTCAATATAATTCAGAATTCCGTTGAGATTAAATCTTGGTTTTTATTTTTTTATCAATTGTTGCTTAACTTTCATCAAATGTATTTAATACAAATTATGGACTATCTAATAAATGTGTAAAAATAATTGATTTTATTAGTTATTTTAAATGGCTATACTGTGATAAATAGGTATTCGATTAGCCCATAAGTGATAACATATATATATATATATATATATATATATAGGTAAAGTGTGAACGTGTGATTTTTTTGAGCATGCTCACCCCACCATGCGTAGAATTTGAATTTTTTCTTGTACAATTTAAAGCACTAAAAACACTAAATTCTTATGATGTATATATTTTTTGTCTGGGTGATTTTTTTAGTTTTCTTAAAAGACAACCACTACTTACAACGTAATATTACAAGAAAAAATATTCTCTTTCAAAATGTTAAATTTGTATAAAACACGAGTTATTCTTAAAAAATGTTGTATTATTTGTGGTTTAAATTTTTTATGAATTAAATTACAAATTTGAACATTATTCTGGGATAAAAGTGGGATGAGTATGTTACACAATCACTGTTTTGTATATTACATATACTATACGCATTAGACATTATACATAAAATTATATATGGAACGCTTAAAACTATATGGAGACATGAGTCCCCCGTGTAATTATTTCCCACTTTAAGCCCTGGATATACGGCACGGGCAAAGTGGGTACAATACACATTTGGCTAATGATTATTACGATAGAGGAAGAGCCAAGTTTTATAGTGAACATTTTTTTTTTTTTTTGGGGGGATTTTGATATCTGGTCACCGTGCGGTGAATATTAAACCGAAACGATCGGTGTGAAATAGATTGACAATACCAATAATATTATAACGATAAACGCGGCTCGTCTGTTGTGTAATGACAATAGGCAGGTAGGTATAAATAACATATTTTGGCGCGACGTTATCAACGGCCGTGTGATAAAACGGCACGACATAGGTATAATAATGTTAATATAAAATATAAATTGTAAAAATTGTGCGTTTGTTAATATGACCGGCTATGACTCAGCGATTGGCGGCGTCTGCAGTCTGCACACCGCGCGGCGTTTAGTCGCGCTCGCGCCGTCGTCCGGTCAACGTTGTTCGCCGTGCCAATGCACGTAGGTCGTTCCGAATTGGCGCGTTCGTCGGCCGTCGGTTCTTCTGTGTGTGTATAACAAAATAATATAACATGTAATATAATATACAATTTAAAAACTGTTATTTGATTTGTATTATAAAAAAAAAAAAAAACCGAATTAAAAAATATGATACCGCCGCCGCCGTCGAGTCACGATTTTTCTTTGAAATCCGACCGCCCGAGGAGACAATCGCGACTGTCCGCTTTTTTTTCATTCTTCATCGACGGATAATAATTTTTTTTTTGTTTTATGATCGATTTATTATAACGCGTTGTGACCGAAACCGAAAAACCGCAGCTACCGCATATAATTATTATAATAATAACAACAACAAAATGACGGTTACTTATACGGCCGAAGTGGCCACTTGCAGGGGCTTTGGATGTTTTCTGAAACTTCTACTCAGGTAAAGATAACACAATATTATCACTATCGTAGTGAAATAATAATAATATACAGTAACGCCATTGCAATCAGTTTTTGGGGCTTTCGACCCGCCAACGAAATCTTAACCTAACCTGTATATGACCTGGTATAACCACCTAAGCGGTACCCTCTGACTTTTTTTTTCTTTCAAAAACCTCTAACGGTCGTTTTTCTTTCGATTGACTTATTATTAATCAAAAACATTCAATATGAATTATATCTACATATTAAGCAAACCGAGTGTAACATACGGCCGATACAACAATATCCGTGGTAAATATAATAATACACACCTACAATAAGTATTGCCCACAGATATATATTACAACAAGATAGCCGACTTCCTATAATAACAGGATAGAACATTGAAGTCGGGAAAATGGCCGACTTTTCTTATCAAAGAGCCCCTTGTTTACATATTTCTAGTGTAAAAAATTGAAATTTAATTCTCGGAAGGCGATAATTTATTCATACATTTTATATTTTAATGTTAGTGATATCATTTTATTATACTTATAATATATAATTTATAATATTCCTATAGGTATTGTAATTACCAATTTTTCTATTTTAATGTTAGTGATTTCAATTTATTATACTTAAATACATCATTTGTAATATTCATATGTTTTAATTACTAAAGTTTCTATTGTTATGTCAGTTATTTCAAATTGTATTTTTAATCGTTAAATAAATCAAAAGTTTTTCTTTTAACTTTTAATATTTTAGTTTAAAAAAAAAAAATTATTCAGAAGTAAAAACTTTGGTACACAGGTAATATGCACGAGCGAAACTTTTATGAGTTTTGCACATTAAGAACCTACCTATTGTAGTAAGTCAAATGTACTGAATTAAAATTTCTTAAAACTAATTTTACTATGATAATTTATAACGAAACTCTTCATTATCATTACTCTAGTTGTAATATATAATCTGTGGTATTGCCTTTGCAATGGAAACGACAACGATTATAAATCGCTTATCACAGAAATACTGTTATCACAAAAAATATATTTTTTTAAATTATTAATGGATTTAATTTTTATACTGTAGAAAACCACGGTAGCATAATATTATACATTACTTAGTATTCCCTGGGCGAGTATTTGATTTAGAGAGACTTGATTGAATTTTTTTAAAGGGGTGCTTAGTCCATTCGAATTCCCAGCCCCGGCTAATTTTAAGTGATTTATATTTTACCATTAGCAGTGTACTCGAGTCTCAAAAATTACTTATGGTTTTTTTTTTCCAACTCCAATACCGATCAACCCCCCTCCCCCTCGACCCTTCCACCCTCCCAGTTCCCGGCCACTGTTGGCGAATGATAATAACTATTCAGCCACGACGTGATATAATGTATTATCGTTTTGGCCAGACGCGAATGGGTCGTATAAAGATCAAAAAAAAAAAAATGTTTGTATTTGTTCAACATTAAAAACAACAACCATGTCGATGGCGTTAATTTTTTCCCAAGTGCCCGGCCAATGTGTGTCAGTGTGAGTTTGCACGAAAAAATACACAACTGTGGGACCGTCGTTTTTGTGCAAGCACTATATAATACAATATTGGCAAATAGGCAATAGCCTCGTTTCTCTTATTATTTTTCGGTCGTACACGCGGTAATTTATTACCTGCAAATGCCCTACCTAATTTCTATTATTATTTTTTTTTCTTTTATGAGTTTTTGTAAAAAAAAAAAAAACTGTCATACGTCCTAATATACTTTGACTAATTATTTTGGTGTGTACACAAAAAGAAGAAAAAAAAGAAACACACACACACACACATTGTAATGTACTCGTTAAACACCGATTGACTGTATACAGGTATTCGTTTATCGCAGTCTCGAAAAATATATTTCATAATCTTCTCGCTATGCAATGGTGTTTATTATCGATTTGACTTGTAATTATTTATACCGGAGATATCAATAGGTAATATAAGATTGTAGACTTCTTTTTTTAATGTATTTATGTTTACACTTTTATAGTTTGTAGTTCGCCCAATTTTAGTATAATTAAAAAAAAAAAATAACTCCATCCTTTATAACGTATGATATACCGGGTGATTTTTTCATCATGAGCCACACAATATGGGTTTAATATGGAAATTGATTTTTTTTTTCATATTGTCTTTATACAATGTGATCTTAATTTTTCAAAAAAAATTTATTTTTACCCCCCTCGTAACCAAGTTTTTTTTTTTATAGGAAATTTTGTAACTTTGTTACGCATACATTTTATTAACTTTTTAAATTGAGAATATTTTACTAGACATTTTGACTGGTTGATATCCATTGATAACTATTATTAAAGTTTTAAGAGTTTCAAAATTAGAACGGGAAGCGCGCAGTTAAAAATAATACAACACTTCTCTTGTCCTCCTGCCCTAAACTTAAAACTTTAATAACTTTAAAAATATATATCGAAAAATGGTTATCGACCAGTCAACATGTTTAGTACAATATTCTCAATTTAAAAAGTCTATGAAATCCATGCGTTACCGTTTAAGTTTCAAAAATTGATGTATAAAAAAATACTTAAGTTGGGAGTGGAGTAAACACAAAAAAATATGTGGAAAATTGAGATGACATTATATAAAAAAAACTATAAACAAAAAATGTAATTATTAAATAAACCCAATGAGATATTAAGCGGTTCACGATAGAATTATCACCTTATATAAAAGAATAATTTTAAGAAGCCCAAAGTTAAGTTATACACTATTAATGTACAATATTGTCTGGGTCTAATACTGTACTATAGAATTAACAAAAATGTTTTCAAAAAAAAAAAAAAATTATAAAAATATTCCATTCATTTTACAATTAAACTAGTGTAGGGCGTTAAAAGGATCACCCGGTATATACGTTATACAGTTTAAGAAGCTTAAGCTCGTATCATTTAAGCCCATAAGATATGGGGTTATATTTTTTAAAAATATATTGAAATTGGGCGAACTACTAACTATAAATGTATAAAAAAGAAAATCCTATGTCTTCTGAGATATTAGACGGTGTATATATATTTATATATATGTATATATTTCTTATTAGTTTAACTCCGATCGGTTAGCTACTGAGAATGTCGGGAACGTGATTTAACGTTGTATTAATATACTACAAAGACGGCGGTTGGCATCGGATTGTCGACCTTGCGTTCGAAGTGGCCAAGAGGAGCCTTAAGTTAATAGCAGATTATTTTTTTCTTCGATTTTCCGCTATATATTTTATTTATTTATATGATCATTATATATATACGTTCTCGATAATATATCATTAACGATACAATGATGATGTTAAAATTCTACTCGTCGAGTTCGTTGATTCGTTTGTGCATAAAAAAAAAAAAAAAAAAAATACAAGATAGGATTCAAAATAATTACACACGCGCTCTCCCGGCCAAGGACACCCTGTTGTTGTCGGCACATCAAATAAGAAGAGAGGTGTTAATGATCTTCATTATAATGTCAGCGGCGGTGATACATATAATACTATGTGGTTTGCCCCAGGCTGTTAAAACAAAGCTTGCGGATTTTTTTTTTATGGTCTACAATCATTATGTTGTATTTGTATTATAGGTATACACTATGATCGCCCGGTATTATATTAAAACCGCGTGTTCGAATTTTTATAAGCAATTTTTTTTCCATTAAAAGCATTCGAAACAACAATTGATGTTTGTATCGAAAATGTATTTGTAAGAACGTTTTGGTGTTGTTTTTATGTTATATATAAGTATTAGTCACGGTAGTCGGCTTTGAATAATTAGCATTTAAATGAGGGGAAAGGTGCAATGTATGGTTTTTGTCTAAAACGGGGTTAAGTAACCCCATTCACTGTTCCTATTATACTATGCATTTGTTCAAAACTGTTTATCGACCAGTCTATTTTATGTTATTAAATATAGGTTTTATTTTAAACTCGGAATTATTTTGGATATTTTATATCCTAAAGGATATTGGCCTTTTATTAGTTATTCTTAATTGTACTTTTATAGTTATTAGTTAACCCCAAACTGGATATATTTTCAATTTGTTCATTAATTAGTTGCATTAAAAATAATTGGCTACACATTTTGGCGGGTCGTGTAATGTGCGCCAATAAAATTATTACTACACGTCATCCTTCTTACCGTTTTAACTTTTAAACTTTAAAAATATTTATTCAAAACTTTGACCAGTCAAAATGTTTAGGAAATTATTCTTAATTTGTAAATTTACTAAAATATATATGTTTGAATTTAAGTTTCTAAAGTTGATAGAACTCTACAATTTAACATAATATAAAGATAAAAATTCAAATATTATGTAATATTGTAAAATAACATTTACTCTCAAGTAAAATGTCTAGAAAAGGAAAACGACCAAATTTGAATTGTTTTCATAGACATTGAGTGTGTAACGTTTAGTTATTATTGCATTTTTTTATTTGGAAAACTTATTTGTGATAGTTGTTTTGGTAAACTGGTCGATAATCGATCTTGAATGATTAGCACTTAAACGAGGGGAAATTTGCAAAGCATAAAATACTATCTAATCGCATTAGTAGGGACAAGTAACCCTACTCATTCTTCCAATTAAATCTGTACCTATTTGTCGAAAACTCATTTTCGACTAGTCAATTTTTTATTTAAAATGAAACTAAGGACAAGTACTTTACAGCAACGAGGTAGATCAACATATTATAATTATATAATAATTAAGAGCAAGACATAAGTCAAAATACTAGGAATTCTTATAGTAGTTGAAGTCATTTGAAATTTGATCAACCTTGGCCTTCGCATGAGTTTAGTCAGCGAGGCTAGCGTGCGTAATGTTTTATTCCATAAGAAATATTTAGTAAATATATAATTATAAATCATCAAATAAAATGAGCGATAATATTATAGGCTAAGTAAATCATAAGGTTTAAAAATAAAATAAATCCTTGACAACGTAAAAACGATTAGTGTTTAGTTGTTGAAATAAGCGTAAAGTGGTTAACCGCAGATGGCATGCAGATTTTAAGAAAAACCATCCACCACAACCATGAATTCCGGAAAAATTGCTGAATTTTATTAATCATTGAAAATTTCCAATTTAAATTAAACTAACCGTGTGTGTCTTCTCCTTGTTACGCTCAGACGCCAACCATAGTTTGTCGATTTCCAGTGTTTAACCCTTATAATAATAATGTACAAATTATTGATAGTTGTTATTAACTATAGTATAACGCGACTAATACATAAATTGTATCTTTTTTTTTTATGAGTGTAAAACCACGTTATTGATTTCTAACTGCAGCTATTCCAAGCGTTTACAAGTACATTAATACTATGTAATACCTACTTTGCAAAATAACAATAAATTAACGCGTTCAATGTTATTGAACGCTAACGTCATAGAAATACACAATTTCGTTGATAGTGATTTATAATGTTTGAAGGAACTGTTCGAGACTATTGTACGGCTGTTTGTATAGGCTGTAGTTTGAGGTTGGATTGCAGAAATATTGTAATTCCAGTTGGGTTCAGTTGGAAATCTTATGATAAAACTCCTTTTCGGTACAACCATATTTAAATATTATAAAATTAATGTAGCCACAAAAGTAAAAACTGTAATGTTAAAAAATGTATTTATTATATTTAAGTCCCCGTCTTTTTAAATTATTTGAAAGAGAATATTGCAGGTATAAACGGCAAATAATAAGAAACGAGCTTTGAATAATTTTATAAGTACATAATATCTCTATTAAAATACTAGAATTTTTTCCACCGTTTTTCCGCCAATTGTCCAAGAAGGTAGTCTATAATGTAGGTATATTACTGTCCACTAAAGAGTATTAGTAAGAGTAAAAAATAAAAAATAATTTTTAATTAGAAATTACTAACAAAATAAAAATAAAATTACTTAATTTACTTAATTTACTTCACTTTAGTGCCGCACGTTTGTAAATGTAAACATTTTTGTATAGTTTTTTAAGTTGTTGCAGTTTTGTTATATTTGTAAAAAATAATATTTTTATGCTGGACTACACGAATAGTGGTCATTAAGTGTTTAACGAATCATTAAATTTAATGGCTTGTGATTAGTTCACTTAATTAATAAACAAGTGTGTAGTAATTGTGGGGCATTGCATAGCATTGCTGTATTACAAAATTATATCGTACTATATACCTAACCTAACTTAGACCAGAGTGGAATATTTTTTTGGGGACTATCAATGTGGATTTTGGCAAAATTTATCAACAATTGACTAGTTGTGACAATTGACTTGTTTATTTATGATATTAATCAATTATAACAAACAACAGCTGTGGATTTTCGACTGTGTGAACATTTCCAGAAAAACGAATTAAATTAATAAAAAAACAGTTATGGTGTATTAAACACACAAGTGTAAAAATAAATGTGGGAATTCCACGATAGATATAATAGGGTTGAACACTAGACTTGAACAATAATGGTGCCTGTCACCGATTTTATGTAATCTAGTATTGGATAATTATACAGTACATTATTAGGCTTGGCGAAGCAAGTTGAATCACACACGTCGTTGCAGTCATGTTTGGAGCACAATCCTTAAGCCATTAGGAAAACCTGAAGAACAAAGGTTACAAGTTCTTTTTTTTTGGGGGGGGAGGGAAGGTATTAAGATGGTATATCGACCATGTTTAGTTGTAGTTTACTCAAAAATGAAGAAAAGGATGTTATACCTCTTATTTTCTAGCACAAAAATCCGACTACGCAGAATGTAAACCGAAGTTAGGTCTTATTGATACAATAGAGAAGGATCAGGTACTTAATACGGTTGTCAAGTAAAATGTGTCACGTTGTCCTTTAGTTAACGCTGAAAGACGGCGGTGTAACTTGATCCCAGTACAAGCTTGGCGTTAGTTTAGAGATGTTTCATTAATTTTTTAAATACTTTATGGTATGAGGTTGGTTGTCTAGAAATATTGGGAAAATGTAATTTATAGTGGCAGGTATAAATAAAGGTACAAAACCATTATGTATTCTACTTAAAGCGCCATACAAACAATTGTGTTTTAACTACTCATATATGCCTATCGTATTTTGAGTTTGAGCAACGATTTTTTTTAATTTTGACTTTTGTTTTGATAGTATTAATAAGTTGATAACATGTGCTTTGAATTTATTGTGATTATTATTTGTATTGAATTTACACTAATTATTTATTATAACTAGTAAGTATTTAGTATAATATAAGAAGATTAAAGTAGGCATGTGTGGAGGAAAAATGATTCTATGTTTAATAGTACTCTAAGAAAACCCAAGAAGCAAAAGACAACTTATTGTTAGTACATCACGAATATGAATTGTGTTCATACAAACTCATTTATGTATATTTATAATAATTGAACATTATTTCTTGTATTTCATTAAACATATTTTTTATTTCAAATAACTCGATGCATAATAATATGTACAATACATAATATATTATATTTTATACTTCTTTAATGATTGTTAATAATTTTTCAACTGTAGAGAGGGTCTGTTCAAAGGAAAAATTCATAAATTCGTTTTTTAATTTTCAAAATTGATGTTGAGAACTTTAAGATCTTGTGAATATATGAAAAAAAAAACACTACAAACGCAAGAAGATAGATATTTGTCATAGCTTTAGTATAAAATAAATACTCAATCGGTATAATGAATTTAATTTGATAAAAGTCTATGTGTTACATCTTATAAATGCTTAATTTTCTCTTAAACTATAAGAGATAGAAAGGTGATCCTAAGTTTATTGTAAAGAGTTTGTCAAGAAAATACAGAGATATGGATTAAAACATTAAGAAAAACTATTTAAATTGTTTACATTTTTTTTTAGCCACCGAGATCTCTAAAATCGATTAACGGATTTTGTTATTTGGGGTCTTATTATAATCATGTTGGCATGTAGAAGTCTGTGAAACGTTTCAAAACTTTATCTCCTACGGTTCTTTCACTACCAATTTTTAAAGTTGTATATCTTAAAAACACATTATTTTCATTACATTTAAATTAATTGCTTAATAATAAAATTATATATTTTAAATCATTTTCGGAAAATTAAAAACCAAGAAGTCTACTTACCGATTCTCCTACTTGGCAAGAGTTTTTTCTTATGAATTAAAATAATATGTCAATATTAGACTACATCGTGACATATGGCAAGCTAGTGGAATACACCGATATAACTTTATAGTTTTGTATGAAAAAAAAAAATAATTAAGATATGTAACCTAACTAACGTATGCTTAAAAATTTGTATTTTCCAGGTGGAGAGGAAGTATATATAAACTTGTGTGGCCCGATTTGGCGGCATTTCTTATATGTTATTACACGCTAAATATGACCTATCGTTTTGTACTGAACCAACAGCAAAAAAGGTAAGTATTATTTAGTAGTATTGTAATTTCTCATTAATTTTTATTGTGCCAAAGATAGTCAATTTGGTTATTGTTATTATTTATTTCTAAATCGTCGAGTAAATGATTTTTATTTAAATTCTATGGTAAGTATGTTTTGGAAACGAGAAAGAGTTGGTTGAAAAATATCGAGGGGGCCCAGTTTCCCCAAACTTCGCCACTGTTAGTGTTATGCAAAAAAATGTAATTAGTTTTTTAAAAACATTACTAGCCCTACAACCAGTATAGTATGTACCTACATTTTAATAGTTAAACTATACAATAGGTATTAGGTATTATTCTTATCTTAGAAACGATCTTGAGCAAAACTTGGTGTAAAACATTATTCCGCTTGTATTTAAAGCTGTTTTTTTTTCAATTGTATATTGTAGTCATAAACTTAAGCCTATAAAGAAATCACTTTTTTAGGTTGTAAATGTTTACAACATGACAGGAGGCGCGTCATGTGGTCGGTTAGTTAAAATGCATACTATATTTACAGATAAATAATATTGCACTTGACATTATCCTTGTCTAAAAAAACCGTAAAAAAATATTATCGACGTCAGTTTAATATATATTTTAAGTAAAAAGTTTTTGTTTTCATAAAAAAAAAATAACGTTAAAAGTTGAAAAGTACCAAACTCGATACCGGGCGATTCTTTTAAGGCCCTACGCCAGTTTTCTCTTAAAAATATTGAAATTTAATAATAAATGTAATATGTATTTAGTTAAATTTATAAATTAAGAATAATTTTCTGAAAATGTTGACTGGTCGATAACCAGTTTTAAATAATTACTTATGAAGTTATTAGAGTTCAAAATTTAAAACGTGAGGTAGTTTAGTAAATTTTAAACTCTAATAATTATTATAAAAGTAATTATCAAAAATTGGTTATCAACCAGTCAAATTTTTTTAGTAAACTGTTCTTAATTTAAAAAATTAATTAAATATATACGTTACCATTTAAGTTTTAAAAGTTGATAAAGCACTAGAAAATAGTAAAAAGTTCAAAATTGGAATAGTGTCTAATAGAATACTACAATATTAGACTAATATTGTAGTATAATATAAACAAAATCGTTTTCAATAATAATAACTACAAAAGAGATGAGGTTATTTTGTTGGAAAATATGCTTAAAAAGTAATAGAAGTATTTATTGAAGGCCGTCTGTAAAAAAATATATAAGTTGAACAAATGTGTATATCGTTAAAGATAATTCAATAACCTGCTCGCAGTTGGTGAATCACACTTATTGCATGTCATAACCGAAAACATACTCGAAGTGATAATCGACATACAGGGTGTTCAACAAGCTTGGTACTTTAAGTAGTTGTTCACCACCGACATGTACACATTTTTTAGTAAACAATCGATTTATTTTCTTCAATTACAGGGTCTTCGAAAGCATATCGGAATATTGTGAGACTTACAGCGATTTAATTCCGTTATCGTTTGTGTTGGGTTTCTACATTTCCATAATTATGCAACGTTGGTGGGATCAATATTGTTCGATACCTTGGCCAGATCCAATTGCGGTTTACGTTAGTTCGCATATACACGGACAGGCAAGTATAATTTTTGTAATTTTAATAATCAAATACTTAAACGAAAATAATTATTAAAAAAAAAAAAAACTGCTCGGTCATGTCGTGAGTTATGTTGACGGACGGTATCTTCAATCAAGTCAACTGCTATCATCAATTTTTGTGCTTATTGTAAATTTTTAAATAAACATAATATTGTGTACAACATTATAACAATATTGTTGTTGTATGCTATTAATTTATAATTGTTGAGCTATATACTTTTGATTAAATAAAACCTATAAAAAAAACACTGTGTAGGTACCTTATAAAGTATTGGTTAAATAAAAAATAAACAGAACTCAACATTTTTAAATAGCCTATATTATATTGCCTTTTTTGAGTGTTGTGTAATAAAATAATTATACCATTCAGTAGAATGTCAATTATGCGTTATCTATTGAAATTATGATAATTCTAATTATCGCACTAAACGACAATAAACACTGACAGCATTAAGCCTTCCGTTAAACGATTATTATAAAATAGCTGTATTTGTTTTTAGTTGAGTAATAATTGTGATACTTGGCTGTTAAGCGTTAACGAAATCAATTGACAACTATTAAGTATTACAATAATAATATAAACGGTGCGCTGGAACATTACTTGTTTTGGATAATTTAATTTAAAAAAAAACTGCTCAGTAACCAGTAAAATAATACTACCCATACAGACCATTTATCAATTTCATAGATTTTCTAAGCTATGTAGAAAATAGTATTTAAAAAAACGATGAAATAAAAATATCAACAAAGAAATTTCAATATAAATCATTTAGATTTGCAAATTGGTTGTTTTGCAATATATTACTATTAACATTGTATAGACTATGGAAGGATTAAACATAGGTATACATAAGAGAGGTACAAATTGTAATCCTTTAATGTTCCTCCGATCTTCAATTTTTTTTAGTATTTGAACAAGGCTTGTTACCATGGTTGATATTAGTTGAGCACTATAGAAAGTGATCATTTAAAATTGAACAGTACTATTAATAAAATAGAGACATTTTTAAATTAATATATAAATAATTATTATAATTTTTTTTAAAAAAAAATTGTGCGGCTACCAGCAGCTAGTAACCAAACAAAGCATCTAATAGATATCATCATTGTTAACAATTTCATGCCGTTTGTCATGAATAAAAATATGTTGACAACGATAAAATGGCTTGAGAATTTTTAAGTTTAAAACAAAATACCTACTCGATATGCGATATTAGGCTATTTGAGAATTTACGGTTTAAAGCATAATTCCAATATGTATATTTTTTTTATATTCCAGGACGAACGAGGCAGGTTGATGAGGCGGACGATCATGAGATACGTTTGCCTCGGGCTAACTATGGTGTTTACAAACATTAGTCCGAGGGTTAAAAAACGTTTTCCCACGTTGGACCATTTCGTCGAAGCAGGTACATGCGACTAAATTATATATAATTATGTATAGAGTGTTCGGAATTTCATCGCCCACCTGATTTTTCGATTATTTACTAAAAAATTTGAAAAAAGTTACCTATATGTACCGAAAATATTTTTTGTTTTCATCATAAAATAATAATTTGAAGTGTTTGTATATATTTTATTAGCAGGGGGTAACTTTTGAAACTAAAGTCATAACGTATACATTTAACTGTATAGCAGGTTTGGTTAGGTACTGCATTATTTCCCCTGCTATTTAACATACAAACAAACGACATAAACTCACCAGCCTTATATAGAGAACTTGTTTGTTTTTGCCGATGATACTGCCCTAATTTTAACTAACGGCATTAGTAAAGAAGCTTTTCAAAAAAACCAGTCAGATATTATTTCTATTCGCCTGTGACATTTATTTTACTACACTATCTAAGCAACAATGATTTTCCAAACACAGACCGTATTTTACTACTTACATTACTTTTAGCTAAATGCACTCTACTCACAAATTCATGCTCCTGTATAATAAATTAAAAATTAATTTTACCGCCAAATACTTGAGTGTATAAATGAGTGATGTATAATTTATAACAGGTAAAGCCTGTGGTTATAAGTCGTGAACTATTCCCCACGCTGCAATATGTATTTATATTATCGTTTTTTGTGTACTTAAATTTCTGTAATACTACTTTAAACAATGTTATCTAGTTTATTAGAATTTTTCTCTGTAATAGATAAGACTTCATGGCCCCTCCACGAGCTCGCTCAGCGAGGCCCCTTATATTTTGTAAAGGAATAAATGAGTAATAATAATTCGCTTTTTGGATTAAACATAATTTGCTGGAAATGTTGACTTAATGTTTTAGATAACTACTTTTAAAGCTTAAAATTTAGAATGAGAGGAAGGGTAAACGTGCGCATAATTTAACCACACTCTACCATCCGTCCAAAATATTAGCTCCAATAACTTAAAAAATAACTATCCATATTTTAATAAAATAATTCTGAATTTAAAAATTGATTTAAATGTATACGTTACTGTTTAAGTTTCAAAAGTTAACACCCCGTAATCTTGTAACCGAAGTCGAAAAAAATACAATGACCTTAGACTATTATTATATGAAAAAAATTTAAAAGGTTTTGCATAGGTAACTTAAATTAATTTAATAATAATAATTTATTGGCCACCTAAGAATACATTTTAACAAAAAGAAATAAGTATAATGGCCGAACTCACCACTGAAGGTAACCTCTTTTTGGTGAAATTGGAGTACTAATTAATATAAGTTGACTATAAAATATGAAAATGAAAAAATAAGCTAATATTGAATAATAATGAATAATAGCAATATTAGTGGGTAAAAATAAATATAATTTAAACAATATAAATAAATTCGATTCACATCGTATACACTAAAAAAACTATAAGTGGTTCATGTTATATAAGATTTACAAATAAAAATATGAATTGGGACTCAATTCAAATAGGTTTTGACCTACTCGTGAAAAACATTTTTTCTCGGTTATACCGATGCCTTCGACGAATCAGGCGCGCCATTAAACTCTGAATACTCTGTATGGTTAGAAATTAATTTCAAAAATGAAAAACCCATGATTTGTAACCGTCTAAACGATGCGATAAATATAATATAATTATTACCTATCCGTGTATACGTTTTTTAATGTGTAAGTTTTGCGTGTTCGGAATATCTAAACAATATTATATTTTATTCGCGTGTGCTCCATACGTTATTAGGTCTGCTGTTGGAAAACGAAAAAACCATTGTGTTGGACTTGAACGATAAGTTTCCAAGACATTCCAAACACTGGCTGCCGGTCGTGTGGGCCGCTAGCATTGTGACCCGGGCGAGGAAGGAGGGACTTATACGTGACGATTTCGCGGTTAAAACCATCATTGACGAATTGAACAAGTTCCGTGGACAATGTGGATTACTGCTCAACTACGACTCGATAAGCGTTCCATTAGTATACACACAGGTACTACACACACACCCAACCGTTTGTACTGTTTAGTTTGTCTACAATTTTCGTTCGGTCCTTATTTGCACACACACACACAACTAAAACCCGAATTAGTGCATCGTGCAAGACACTAATCCGTTTTGAGGGGCCTCACACACTAGCATTTATCAAGGCGCACTGTATAGGCAATTTTCCGCTAAAACTAAACATTATGTCACCATTTTCAAAAATATTTTTAAAAATTAAGAGATAAGTGTCAAGTGATAAGAGATAAGATACAAGCGATTAGAGATTGGAGATAACAGATAAACGATAAGTGATAAGAGATGTCATATCCATAATTCGAAATTTTTCAGTGGAGCGGAGAAAATAACTAAGTTTTTTGTAGCAATAATTACATTGCTTTAATAGGTAGTGCACAATTTGGTTTTATCTAATCTGTGTTAGTTCTTTAATTAGGTTTCAACATTTTAATCCTTCTATGCTAAGGGAAACGGAAAGTGCCATATTTTTTTTAAAAATAAAGACTAAAACGCGAAATCACTTTCTGAAGAATCTACCGGTACAATTTCGGTAGATAAAAAATTACTCAGAAAGTCATTTTTTATCAAACTTCCGCCGGAACTCGAAGGAAAATAACTTATAAAACTAGAAAAGTTTAATATTTGTTCACCTTGAGATTAGTCGGCATAATAAAAATTGCCACTGGATCATTTTTGTCAATTATTGCCTATCCTTTGCCCCTTAATGAATAGCGCTTTCCGTTCGCCTCAAGGAGCCTCTACACCTGCGTATTTTTGGTCGAAAACAACTCATTCCAATTCAAACGTACTGTTCCTAAGAATACTTACTCTGATTTAAGTTTTGAAAAAAATATTTGAGTTCTGCAAAACATTTTCAATGCATCGGTCGTGGCGCAATTTCAAAATTATTTTTAGTTGATTAATTATTTCAGTTGAAAAAAGTAAAAAATTGTTTTTTTTATATATTGAAATAATTAATTAACTGAAAATAATTTTAAAACTGTGCCAACACCGATGCCTTGAAAATGTTGTAAAGAATTCAAATGTATTTAAAAACTTAAATCGATATATCCTTAAGGACAGTTTGAAGTAGATACATGTGCTTTTGTACAAATATAGATCCTATGTCATATATACAGAGTGATTCATTAAAGATAAGACTAATTTTCTCAGAATATATTAATATTGTGAACAATATTTTTTTCCAAGATTTTTTAGTTCACATTGTACTATATTTTTCAATATTTTGATAATTTGCATCACCAATCCTCGAAGGCCAAAAAGAGGGATTTTAGTTTTTTTTAAAAGACAACAAAAAATATTTTAGCGTTTGAATGTTGAATTTTGATTTATTTGTTCATTAGCTATGACTTTGTTGAGATACTACATTTTCTCTTAATAATTATCATGTTTCTTCGGTTTTCCAAAACCGGTAGCACTTAAAGTTCATATTTATGTTCGCAGTGTCCATTTGGCGATAACACTCTAACAAAAAAAAAGTCACTGGTATAAAAGACTTTGAAATAATGATAGACAAACGGTTCTTATCTACAGATTACCTATTCAAACACAGGTACACAGTTGGTTTTACAAACCCACTATATCAAATTATTTTTATGCGTGTAATAAAACAACCCGTCTTTGTAGTAACGATTGAAAATATTAAAAAATACAGTCAAAAATTCAAATCTTTAAAAAGTCATAACAAATGAACCAATAAATAAAAATTCAAACAATAAAATATTTTTTTATTTTTTGTCTACAAATGTATGCAATTAAAAACATAAGTTGCCATGTAAAAAAAAACTGAAATCCCCCTTTTTGGCCTTCAAGGATTGGTGATAAAAATTTTCAAAAAATGGAAAAATATAGTCAATGAGTACCAAAAAAATCTTGTTCAAAATATTAATATATTCCAAGAAAATTAGTGTCTTATCCTTAATGAATCTCCATGTATATATGACACAGGATCTATTTTTGTACAAAAGAACATGTATCTACTTCAAACTGTCCTTAAGGATATATCGATTTAAGTTTAAAAAAAATATCATTCGAATTCTTTACAACATTTTCAAGGCATCGGTGTTGGCACAGTTTTAAAATTATTTTCAGTTAATTAATTATTTCAATATGTAAAAAAATGCAGTTTTTAACTTTTTTCAACTGAAATAATTAATTAACTGAAAATAATTTTGAAATTGTGCCACGACCGATGCATTGGAAATGTTTTGCAGAACTCAAATATGTTTTCAAAACTTAAATCAGAGTAAGTATTCTTAGGAACAGTACGTTTGAATTAGAATGAGTTGTTTTCGACCAAAAATACGCAGGTGTAGAGGCTCCTTGAGGCGAACGGAAAGCGCTATTCATTAAGGGGCAAAGGATAGGCAATAATTGACAAAAATGATCCAGTGGCAATTTTTATTATGCCGACTAATCTCAAGGTGAACAAATATTAAACTTTTCTAGTTTTATAAGTTATTTTTCTTCGAGTTCCGGCGGAAGTTTGATAAAAAATGACTTTCTGAGTAATTTTTTATCTACCGAAATCGTACCGGTAGATTCTTCAGAAAGTGATTTCGCGTTTTAGTCTTTATTTTTAAAAAAAATATGGCGCTTTCCGTTTCCCTTAGAATAGAAGTATTAAAAATGTTGAAACCTAATTAAAGAACTAACACAGATTAGATAAAACCAAATTGTGCACTACCTATTAAAGCAATGTAATTATTGCTACAAAAAACTTAGTTATTTTCTCCGCTCCACTGAAAAATTTTGAATTATGGATATGTCATCTCTTATCACTTATCGTTTATCTATAGTCTCCAATCTCTTAACGCTTGTATCTTATCTCTTATCACTTATCACTTATCTCTTAATTTTTAAAAATATTTTGAAAAATGGTGACATGAAATTTCTTGTATCCAGCTCAATAACATACCCGTGTAAAAATGTACATGATGTCGACCAGTTTTTTTATTTAATGAATGATACGTTTGGATTTGTTTCTAAAGTTTAATAACGAATATTATTGCCGTACGACCTAAATAATGAAAAACCCCAAACAGTTACCGCTGGTGTTAAATTAAACCGGATTATTATTTAATGTGTGTTATTAGGTGGTCACGTTGGCGGTTTATTCGTTTTTCGTCACGACCGTTATGGGACGGCAATGGCTGGACAAACCCCCTGTGGCATTGGCCAATTTAAAACAACGTTCCGACGTCGACACCAACTATATCGACCTGTACTTTCCGGTTTTCACCACGTTGCAGTTTTTCTTTTACATGGGCTGGCTGAAAGTGGCCGAGTCGCTAATAAATCCATTCGGCGAAGACGACGACGATTTCGAAGTCAACTGGATCGTCGATCGTAACGTTCAGGTATAAACATTGATAAATAATATTATCACTGTGCTTGCGTGTTAATTATTTCACATATATATAATATACAGAGTGAACATTTTTAAATTTGACGGAAAAACAGGGGGGATTCGTTGGTTGAAATACTTATTCGAGTACATTTTGGAGCTATTTGTTTCCTATTTAAATTCGATGGATTGGTATCCCAAATTGGAATTTCTCAAATATTTTTATACATATGTATACATAGGTGTCCTATTTGATCGTCGACGAAATGCATCACGAACATCCGGAATTAATTAGGGATCAATATTGGGATCAAGTGTTCCCAACCGAACTACCATACACTGTGGCCGCCGGTGAACGCGAACATCACCCCGAACCTTCCACGGCCAACATTGCAGTGTCCGAGGCTGACGCCGAGTATTCATTGCCGCCCAAGTGCTGTGACGATGGTAACAACGGGGTAAATATATATATATATTTTATAATAATTAAAATCCGTCTCGCGAAAGAACGGTACTGCGTAGGAATCTCCCTGAGATCTTTGTTATCGTACTACGTTGTTGTTTTACTTTTATTGTGGATGTGGTTCGTGGAGATGGAGAGATGGATACACTGGTTTGACTAGAAGAGAGAGGAAAATATGGGTAGAAGGGGTGAAGAGCGGAGCTGGTAGCGAAATAGAACGAAGACAGAGAGAGAATATTGTATTGTATCGTAGTAATAATGTTAAGGAAATGATTCAATGTTTTTCCGCGAAGCAAAGAAATTAGCAAGATTTTTTAATTTAATTTTTATCAAAAGAACAAATGCATTCGTGCACTTGAATTTACTTATATTTTTAAAGTACTTCAATCCCAAAAATGTCTTTTGGTTGCCCTGACAAGAGGGCAAATATTAGTAATTTTTATGACTAATTAACTGTGTAATTTTTTCATTTTTGTTGGTGTTTCTTTAATTAACTACAGATTTTTCGAGGAAATGTTATACATTATGTACATATTGCCACTATTTACCTTCATTGCAATTTTCAGACCTTAAGTCTCAAAAACTACGTTGGAAAAAGTGGAATTTAGACAAATATTTCATCCCTTCTAGGGCAGAGAGAGTTTATGATATTTTCGTAGCTATGTAAAGCGATATCACTATAGTATCTAAAGAATATTCCAAACGAATTGAGCACTAACTGATTTCAAAGGGGTTGGACTGAACTTCTCAATGCTCTGCATAACATCTAACAAAATAAAACATATGTTGAATTATGATTGTCGCTAATATCGAGGGCCAATCGAAGCTATGTCTGTGTATAGTAGTGAATTATGCTATTTTTTTTTTATAATTTCAGGACGACGACGACGCAAACAGTGGTATACATTTTATTGCTTCGGGTGGAAGCTATAAAAGATCAAATAGTCATTTACGGGGACGGCCGGTGTCGTCGCACAGTTCACACGATCATCAAAATCAAAACAACCAAAGCGTTGCCAGTTCGTTAAACCGCGTTGGCTCGGTGACTTCGATATTGAAAAACTTATTTAAACGTTCCAACCAAAATACCGGCGAAGGTTAGTAACCGCCGTTTGGGGCTTTTAACATCAGCTAGAAAAAAAAAACAAACAAGACAGAATTGTCTGTCAATCATCAATTTTCCTTGAACATTTTATAAAGAAAATCAAACGATACCACCCTGTATTCATTAAGTTTAACCAACTCATTTTTTGTTTTAGAATATCGGCAATTTTGTAGTTTTTTCTTTTGGGGATCTAAATTTTTAACTTTTTTTAGTATTTTCTAGAGCTCTAACGGCTTTTCAATGAAAAGCATACACGTTTTGTAAAAGAACATAAACTAGAGTGTCACCGAAAAGTAAAAACTACAAAATTGCAATTATTTCAAAAGAAAATGAATATCTTGAACGAAAAAACAAATATTAATAGTGGTAATCCTAATTTTGTAAGTACTTAAAATGGAAATAGTTTAATCTAAAATTCGAATGGTGTGAATGAATCAATTTCAATTTTCAGCAAAAAGTGAGACAGACTACTAAAATATATTAAATAGCCAAAGGTGATTGTCTTAAGAATGATCTTGCTATCCCATCTAGAATGTTATCTGAAGTAAGGATATCATTTTCTTTGCATCCTAATGAACCTTGTTTCACATAATGTTTGTGAATTGAGAATATTTATTAGTATGAAAAAACCGTAGTTTCTCGCTAGGTACATATATAGATGTACAGTTTATTTTTTAACAATTTTTTTCAAGTTATATTTTGGCTAGAATTTTAAGACCAAAGAAGTAGGCCTAGGTATAATTAACATAGTCTGTTTTTGCCCCTTTTAAACAATAGGAACAATTATCGCTACTTTCGATGGATCGAATTAATTGCTAGGTTAATTATACTACTATATTTCTAATCTGTACAATTGATAAAATCACAATTTCGCATATTTGTTTAACAGCTAGTGGGAGATGCTATTTCATAAGACAATATTGTGACTAAATTTATATACTTAAAGGGTTTAAACTCACATTAGTAATGGCAATTTACGGATTTATCAGATTTTCAGACTGGCATTTTGTTTGTTTGCCTAAAAACAATTGTTGTTTTCAATCAAAGTTGTAAAATTAGACAAATACCGGTTTTTATAAGTGTATTTTTTTTTTGGGGATAAAGAAAATTTAATTTAAAAATCCGGTTGTCGTTTGCGAATGACGCATTAAGTCCATCCCAAATTTATATTTTAGTGGTCTGTCTTGTTTTCGCAGAAAAATGTCATTGACTATTTCAATCTAAGTAGCAAACCATGATTAGAGTTACATCAATTCTGTTGGGTTTTCTACACCAAATCATACACCAATCGGTGCTTTTTTCATCAAAATACTAACACCTTAAATACTTAGCAAAAAATGAGATTTCTACAAATTTTACAAAAAAGTCCTCGAAATTACTATGGTAAAAAGAATGTGGGTCTGTGTGGAGCAAAGCTTCTCGTGATTTGGTTTAAAATAAAATATATATGATTTTTATTTCGAAAAAACTTAACAATAAAATATATTATAAAAGTCAATTATATAGGTTTGCTGTCAAGAGTGTCTAGTGGAAATAGATTGCCAGGCAGCACCTGGCAAAGTCAAGATAGTCTACAAAGCAGCAGCAGTAAACTACTTCAACAACAGTTTGGCAGCGTGCGTATAGCTGACCAGGTATGAGACTGTTTCACTTGTTAGGCTATTAAGTTATAAGGTTTTGTAAAGGGAGTCGCTGTACAGTTTAGACTATTAGCTTCTAACGTAAGTCGTATCAATTCTCTTTACCAGTATGCACCACTAATTATGCCGCTGACCAATCTATAATGAAGATGATGCGGTTTGCCAATGTTAAATCGTCCTTCCACTATAGTGTAGGCGAGATAGGAAATAATTATGAAAGACAATTATTATAAAAATCATTAAGAAGGGTCCTCTACCAAACATACTAAAAAATCCCACATCCCACCTCCCCCTATTGAAGAATATTATACTTGTAATACTTTTCCTACAAAAGTTGTTGCTCGTATAATTCAATCTATAAGTTTGCTCCTTATACGTTTTTATATAAGTGCAAAGGATTGGTCAGAAAAACAGGCCGAAATTGACTATTTTGAACATTTAGTAACATTTATGCTGTTTTTTTTTTATATTCGTGGCGGAAACATATTTCTAGACTGTATTTAATGACTTAACAGTTATGTTGTATTTGTATAATGTTTTTATAAACGCTAAATGTATAAAAACAGAAAAATCTACCAATTTAAGTGTAATATTATACAAAATATACAGCATAAATGTTATTACATTATCAAAAATTTCCGTTTTGGGCTGCTTTCCTGACCTAACCTTTGCGCTTACTTAAAAATGTATAAGAAACAAACTAATAATTAATTAAACGAAGAAAAACTTTTGTTGGAAAAATATTGTAAGTATAATATTTTTCAAGAATTTTGAAAAAAAAAATGGTTGTAGTGATGTTTAAAGCCTCTCAACAATTAAGCAGTGGGGGATGGGATTTTTAGTATTTTTTGGTTAGGGACACTCCTTATTTATTTTCCAGCTCGTCACTTCGACTTTCATAATTAACCACTTTATTAGTCTATCTCGCCTACGCCATCCTTAATATTGTTTTTTTATAGTTATAATCGCTTACTGTTGGGCTATCTGCCCTTATTTTAATAATAAACCCATTAAGTTCTTCTAGTGTCTATAATATAGGCATGCAATCATTAAACTCAATATCCCATGAAACGCGTATTGCCTATAGTCGGCTGCTTATGAAAATGTCCACTAGTCGGTGGCAGCCATTTTGTGAACAGTTTTATCCATGATATTTATTGTTTTTTCTAATACTTATCAAATATAATAGTATAACAATAGACTGATAGTAGAGAGAGAGGTTCCCAAGGGTCGATATCGTTAAAAAGAGATAGAGAGATTTGTTAGGTATCCTATGGAAAAAATGAAAATCATATCATAGAAAAATAGTAATATGATAATACCTGATAACGAAATGTTTATTTTACAAATTTTTAATTAATTTTTATTTAAACATCGAACTTTAATTTTAGCTTATATAGTATAGCTTGAAAGAGGAACTGAAAAGGTATTGATTTTACAATACCTAGTCAATTTTTTTAAATTTAAATGTATTTCTGTGATTTTCACTCTCAGACATACCTAATAACTTATCAACGTTTTATTCAAGTACGCTATCGAATTCTTTTAAAATTTAGTATTTAAAAATACATTTTTAAATTTTTTATTCAAGTTACACGTTTACACAATAATAAATAATAATTAAATATTATTTAATTATTTTATATTTTCATGTGCGTATTAGTTGTCGTATACAGGATGTTCCAGCATGAAAGGCAAGTAATAGGTGATTGAACATCTGGGGGACCCCCAAATAAGCCCCCGTTTTCTTTTTTCGATATGTCAAAAATTGAAGATTTCGACAGTTAAGTAAAAAAATAATGACTTAAAGATATAAAAAATTATTACCTGTTATTCAGTGCAAAAAGATCACCTTAAAAGAGGGGACAAATCATTTTCAGTCCCTTTCGGCCCCTTACTCAAAAAATGATAAGAGATAAATGATTAGAGACTAGAAATAAATGGTAAGTGATATGTGCTAAATGATAAGAGATAAGAGATAAATAATTAAAAACAAGAGATCAGAAATAAATAATAAGATTTAAGTGATAAGAGATAAATGATTAGAGACTAGAAATAAATGGTAAGTGATATGTGCTAAATGATAAGAGATTAGAGATAAATAATTAGAAACAAGAGATAAGAAATAAATAATATGATATTAGTGATAAGAGATAAATGATTAGAGACTAGAGGTAAGAAAAATATGATTAGATGAGTAAGAGATAAGAAAGAAGAGTTAGGGGCTGAAAAAGACTGAAAATAATGTGACCCCTCTTTTAAGGTGAGCTTTTTGCACTGAATAACAGGGAATAATTTTTTTTATTTTTAAGTCATTATTTTTTTACTTAACTGTCGAAATCTTCAATTTTTGACTTAACGAAAAAATGAAAACGGGGGGCTTATTTTGGGGTCCCCTAGATTTCTAATCACCTGTTACTTACCTTTCATGCTGAAACACCCTATATGGAAATAAATAACTTAATTATTCCACGTCTTTTTAATTTTTATTTCATGGGATTCCCAACTATTCTATTTATCTCTTACTGACATTATTGACCCCTCGTCAGTATAGGCGGGGTGTGTGGGAGGCGGAGTCCATTTCCATTATTGGTCTACGAATATAATCATCACCTATCTTAACATTTCCAAGATTTATCGGCTACACGAAGGTATTATCATCACCTAATCTAACCTTTTCAACATTTTTATCGTGGAAATGTAACGTAGCCTTTTTTACTTTCCACGAAAACGGTACACAAAATGACGGCGCTGCGCGCATTCATTGAGTTTAGTGCCACGGTCTATGGTTTTTTTTTGATTTGTCGGGTAATCTAATCTTCTTCTTCCTCTGGCACATAATACTCTCTAAGAATTTTGGCCGCCATCACAATATCCCTCCATTTCTCTCGATCCTGAACTAATTCCCTCCATTCCTGTACTCCCAATTCTCAAGGTCTTCTTCCACAACATCCAGCCATCTTTTCCTGGGCCTCCCTCGAGGTCTTTTTCCCATTGGTATCCAGTTTAGGACTGCTCTACTTATGTCATCCTCGCTGCTCCGCATCACGTGTCCTAGCCATTGAATCTTTTGCCCTCTTATGAAGCTGATGACTGATGCAATTCCCAATAATTCGTCTTGCAGTTCTTTATTAAATTTTCTTCTCCAAGTTGCATTTTCGGTATTATAAATTGGTCCAGAAATTGTCATCCAAATTCTGTTTTCAAAAGTCCTGAGCCTTCTTTCGGTTGTACTGGTGGTAGTCCATGCTTCACAGCCATAGGCGAGTGCGTGTAGGCCTTATTATTGCCGTATATAGTCAAGCATTGGTTTTCTTCGAGAACAGGTTTGATTTTAAGAACTTACTCGAGGCAAATGACGCTCTGTTATCCTGACTCGTATTTCCCTCGACCAATCATTTTTAGTACTCGATACAGCTGCTAAGTACCGAAATTCATCAACTTTTTCGAAAGTTAGGGACCCGGATAATTTCTAATCGGTTGGTTATTTTTGTCGTGTACGACGAATATTTTAGGTAATCGAAGAACTCGACGAACAAATGACGATCACGGCCGGCGGCAAACTCGAGAGGAGAAACGATCAGAAACCCAGCGTGCGAACCGTGTTTCCTCCACAGCCGTCGCTGCCGGACGACAGTGCATCGTCGAACCTGTCGAATATCACCTACACCGAAGTGTTGTCGATCAACGACGACCCGGATTACCATCGCCGGTCGCCCATGACCTACAGCAGCAGCAGCACCACGAGCCGGCGTACCCCTAGCACCAACAGCCTGCTGTTCGTGGTGGAACCGGTGGCCGAGGCGGAGTTGGCGACCGACCAACAACCGCCACCGAACTCGGCCAAATCCGACAGCGGCACGTCTTTGGCTACCTACGAATACGACGAGACAAACAGAAGAACGCCCGATCAACACGATTGAGACTTTAGGGACTAGTAAATAATAATAATACAAATATTGAGAACTAGCAGTCGCTAGCAGCTGCTGCCGTCTGCTGCGACCGCGGTAACCGCGGTACTCGGTAACCTAACCGCAACCTAGGTAACCGTGGTAAGTATAACAACTTTTCATAAACACGACGCGAGGAAAATCTATTTATTGTATTTCGGATGTACCTAGTTTTTTCTTTTTTTTTTTTCAATGTATTTTTAGAATAATACAATAAAACAGTTTGACCGGAATATTTTTCATGGCGAGTATAGTGACTTAGACTTAGTCTGAGCATGTATTGTAACATTATTGTAAAACAATATTGTCGGATAGGTATTTTACAATGTAATTGAGAAACTATTATAATATTATTATCCATTTTGTACTATATAGTCAACGTTTTTGTTGTTGCCGACGAATAATTGAGATGATATAACATTTTGACGTACGAAAAACAAAATGTGAATACTTATAATATACTATATTTTGTGTACCTATTATTAGCAACCTTAATTTTTTTTTTTAGATAATATTATAATTTTTCAGATGCCAATAATTGTTTTGCCGTAATGAATTTATACAATTTTTTATAGTTTAATACCTTTTTTGTTTTATTTGTTCAATACCGTTTAAATGGTGGTGGGTTTTAATTGTGTCGATTATTTTAGATACAAAAATAAAAATTGTTTTTAAGTTCAAACAATGTATTTTTATTTTTAAAAAATAGTCGGATTTTGATCATTTTTTATTGTGCATAAAAATTTTATAAATGACATAAGAAATGTTACGTTTTATTTTTTTATTCTCGTGAAAATGTTGATTTTGATGTGACTTTGATTACAAGTATGTTGTGTACTATAATATTATAATTAGAACAAGATATTTTCTTTATTAATTCAACAAGGCAAATGTAATAATATTATGTAGATAGATTTTTATATAATGTTTATACTGGATGTAAGTAGGTTTTTTAGATGCTAAACTAAAACCAAACCATGTACATCAACCCAAACTTAATATAATTTAAACAATTTTTAGTATACCAACAATAAAGCTGTTGTTGTTCTGAAACTGATTTAAGCACTACTTCAAGTAGGTACATAGTTTTTATAATATTATATTGTGTATAGGTACCTACTCAGGGCTGGCACTGAAAATTATTCAAGCAATGTTGTGTCAAAATAAAGATACCAAAGAGGTTTGATTATTTTCATAAAAAGGCATAGTGATAATTTTATTTCAAAACCCTTAATGTGATTTAATGATTGTCGAAACAAGTAAAAAAAAATAGTATTTTAATAATGATTTACTATATCAGTTTTTATCTATTTATATTAAAAACGTGACTAGATTTTTAAATTTTTAATTGTTTTTTAGAGCAGGTTTTAGGAATTTAACAGATTTTTCTATTAATATACAAGTCCAATTACAATTAATTACAACACTTTTACCCCTTAGAACGGCTTTAAAAGCATTGTTTTGAAAATGTTTAAATTTATTTGAGACAAAATGATAACGTATTGGAATAGTTAAAACTTGCAAAATTTAAGGTGTAAAAAAATAAAGATGTTTTATTTCAATTTACCAATCAATTGTAGCACATTTTTTTTTAATGTCAATTACTTTGAAAACAACCGAAAATTAACTACAATTATAAATAATGTTAAACGTCTTTAATTTTTGATTAAAAAGAAAGGCGTGGACCCTATTCAACAAAGTCCCTAATACATTTATCAGATAAAAATTCAGATAATGTTTTATATTGTAAGTTTTTTTGTAATTCAAATTTGATACTATATTAGTGTGTTACACATACATTTCATAATTCTTAACTCAATGAATTTGGACTTTGTTGAATAGGGCCCGCGCTTTTTTTTTTTAGTCAAAAAGAATTAATGATGTTTATCATCATTTAAAATTGTAGTTAATTTTCGGTTTTTTTCAAAGTAATTGACATTTTAAAAAGATGTGCTACAATTGATTGGTAAATTGTTCTTGAAGTAATATTATTTTTTACTTTTTAGTTCACCTTTTTCCTACATTTTTAAAAAAGTTTTTTATTTATTTATTTTATTTTATAACTTTTTAAAACATGAATGACATTTTCCTTGAACCATCATTATTTGATATCATCATATAGGGGTTGTCGTAACTATTTTCAGTATCAATAATAATGAAATAGAACGTTTTAATGTAAATCATTATGTCTGTTCAAACAACTTAAGTACCATACATTTTATATCTTTGGATTATAAATTGTCTTCTTCCATATAATTCGCATATAATTGTGCTGTAATATTTATTATTTGTATCCATGCAACGGTCAATAAAATAGTTTATATTATGTTTTGTAGTTTTAGTATGTTTTACTATTTTACCAGTTCTTAATCACATTTTGATTTATACACATGGTTTATTTTTTCTATTTAATTCTAAATTCTAATAAAAATGCAAGTCGTACAAATGTAATTTAAATTATTTTCCGCAATAATTAGCTTTTTGGCTAAAGTGTACAATAAACACATTTCGTCACAAACATTTTCAAACTAAGCCATCGATGTCTTCACTGAATTTGTATAAAAAAAAATTGGATAAGTATTTTTTGATTATCGATGGTCCAACGACCAGCGGTACTACTGCACTTGGTGAAATTAAGGAGAAGATAGCAGTGGTCGAATCAAAAGACTTGTATGTCAAACAAGAGCCGACCAATGGACAGTGGACACCCATGGTCCGCTTTCCCAGACACTTTGAAACCCAATTCTTGGTCAATTGGCAATTCCAAATCTGAAGGTCCAATCAAGTATTGTCTTCGAGACATGGGACGTGCGAGCGTCCAAAGACAAATTTATAAGAGACATTGTTGAATGGAGCTCACTGCTCACGCTTTTTTTTTTTAGTAAAAATTAAAGATGTTTAAGATTATTTAAAATTGTAGTTGATTTTCGGTTGTTTCAAAGTAATTGACATTTTCAAAAAATTGTGCTACAATTAATTGGTAAATTTTTGGGTTTTTTAGCAGTAATTTTAGGACGTTAATTTAAGTCACCACTTACCCATCAAATTCGAGAGAAACACCTAAAAAATTTACAAATTTTTCAACTTAAAGTTACGATGCTCTATAACTTTTTTAAAAATAGTCGAAAATGTTCCAAATTTATATTTCTTCAAACATAGTACTATTGATAAACATTGACAAACCAAAAAAAATATCATAAACCTTTTCCCTTAGAAGGGATAGAATTGTTTTCTTTATTTCTCTTTTTCAGGCAAAGTTTTAAAGATTTAGATCTGAAAATTAGACCGAAGGTAAATCTATAATGGAACTATAATACATACAATTTTCTCAAAAATCTGTAGTGAAGTTTTTTTTTATTAAGGAAAAATCCCAAAAACAGGGTAAATTTACACTTTGGCCGTAGTCAGTTTCTAGGTTGCTATGTGTGTGTGAATCAACAGTCAACAGGTAATGAAAATATTTTCATTATATTGTTAATTACGATATATTGGTAACTATGACAGTACATTTTTATAGACAGACGATCAACCCTTATCGTATACCCCCTGCACAAGACTAAATATTAAATTTTAAGTACATTATTGCTGGTCCCACGATATCTTCTAAGCCGCCATAACTAGTTTGAACATACTATCCACAAATTCGCATCGAAGCGTTTATTCAAAAGTAAATTTATCACATTCAGTTATAATAAAATCTGTAGACCTGTGACCTCTCTGTCCCCACTATACCCCGACCCCACTGTACTGGCTTTTTCTCATTTAATATTATTTGTATATCAAACAGGTATGAAAATTGTGCTAAACAAATTGTGTTTTCGTGTAAACGCTTAGGCGAGAATTCGACAAACGGAACAAGTTTTTTTTGTTTTTTGGGATTTTCAGCCGTATTTTGAAGACCTTTAAGTTAAAATTTTGCCAGTAGTTAGAACTCATATGTATCCATAACATATTGAACGGGAAAAAAATTCGGCACGACAGTTTTTCTTTAATTTCCGGAAAACTGTGTTTTCGCAGATTGCGTACATTTCAACAAAAACCTCTAAAATCTTTAAAAAAAATTTATCAAATCATTAAAACAATTTTATGTAGATCTATGCAGAATGATACTATTACGTTTTATGCTCAAGTACCACTTTTGACTTTTAGTTTACACAAATTAAATTTTTTTTTTTACTTAAGTTTTTTTTAACAAGACATTGTATTTGTGTTATTTGGTCCACTTTGTTTTTGCAAAAAAAAAACCAGTACAGTGGGGTCGGGACATAGTGGGGACGGAGCATAGTTGGGTCGGGGCATTGCGGGGACGGGGAGGTCACAGGTTTACAGGAATTTTCTAATGATAGAAAGTGATAAAATCACTTTCGAAAAAACGCTTCGATGCGAATCGGTAGTTAGTACTTTCAAGCCAGTACAGTCCAAACCAAACACAGTAGAAATCAACAAAGTTAGAAAGCGTTTATTTTAAAGTGATTTTATTCACTTTTACCACTTATTTTTATAACAATTTCTATAGACCTGTGACCTCTCCGTCCCCTCGTTGTTTTGATTCCATTATGCCTATACTCTACTGTACTAATGCTCTTGGATAAAATCACTTTCAAATTAATGTTACAACTCACATACAAGCTGCTAGTGTGGGTCCATTTTAATTTCAAGTGGTACAAGAGCTGCAGGCATAGCTATAAATTCAAGGTTTGGGTCTCCAATAAGTTGCCATCCACAAGAAAGATTTTTCGAAGTTGTAATTACTTCTAATTGCACTCATGTCATAATACTGTAAATTCTTTTTACGGTGAAAAACTATTGTTTTGGCCTTTACTTTCCTATCCTTAATGTCAACTTTGTTGCTACATAAAATAATTGGAATGCCTTCACAAACCCTTACTAAGTCCCGATGCAAATTAAGTACATTTTTTTATGTGATACGGCAAGTAGCATCAAACTTGATTGTAGCACATTGACCCTGAATGTAGTAACCATCACGAAGTCCTCTAAATTTTTCTTGACCAGCAGTATCCCGAACATTAAATCTGATATAGCCACGAGTTGTGTGGATTACCAAAGGATGAACTTCTACTCCTAATGTGGCAACATACTTTTTTTTCAAATTCACCAGTTAAATAGCGTTTGACAAAAGTAATCTTCCCTGTACCGCCATTACCCACCAACACACATTTAAATGTTGGTACATCATCAGGGACATTCATTATACCTGATTTGGTTGATGCAATTTGATAGTCGCTAAAATGTAGTTTTCGAATGGACAACGACGAGTACAACTAAAACCCGGGAAATCACGCTGGTGCAAATTGAAGTATCGCTTTGTAGCTTCGTTATGGATTCGTACCACTTTTTTAATGCACTAACTACCGAAAATGTATCTTTATGGAAAGCAAAAAAGTTCCTTATTCGTTTCAAAAACCCTTCTCCTCAGTTACGTAAAGCAGATAATTTATATGCCATTACCGACTCTGAAAAAACTAATATTTTCGCTAATCGCATCTCTAACTCTTTAGCTTAAGTTTTTATTCATTAAGTTACTATTTATTGTGTACCAATATATCTATTTTATTTTATACAAAAAAAAAAAACAAAAATATTTAAATATATACACTATATATTGCCAGCAAAACTCAGACAAAACCAAAGATAGTAGAAAAAGTCAAACATTTTGCGATAAAAAATGAACAGTTAAGTAAACAAGCCAGTAAACTGTAATTAAGAATTAATTAAATACATTTTTTAATTACGTAGGAGTCATAAGACACCCTCATTTCTATGAATTAATTGACAAAATATTACAATAGTGGTTTGTTTGTAGCTAATAGTTAAAACGCAAGCGCACATTACTACTACTACTCGTAAGCACTACAGGCCATAGTGACCCTTGGCTTCCAAAACAATTCCTCTCCACTCATTCCGATCTTTAGCAATACTTCTCCAGTTCCATATACCCATCTGTTGTAGATCTTTCTTCACTTCGTCTATCCATTAACTCCTTGGTCGTCCTTGTCTTCTGGTTCCTTCCATTCTTGTCAACATTACGCGTTTGGATATTCTTACCTCGTCCATTCTTTCCACATGACCCAACCATCTGATCCTGCCTGACTTTATAAATTTTACTATATTTTCATCTTCTAAAATCTGTTCTACTTCATTGTTGCTCTGTATCCTCCATCTTCCCTCTTCATTCACTGCTCCATGTATTTTCCTTATTATTTTTCTTTCGGATATCTTTAACCTGTTGGAATCTGCTTT